AAAAAAAAAAAAAAAAAAAGTAAGAATGTGTGTACCATGAACGCCAGTGAACAACTGAGGGATAGGAGGTTCTTTYAAGTCAAACTATCCTTGATTTTGAAAGCAACTCAGCTGAAAAAGGTCACAGTTGCAGTCTTATGTARAGGAAGAACTTGCTGTTAAAACGATTTAACTTGAACTGCATTTCAACCACAAAAAAAAAAAAAAAAAATCTGTTTGCAAGCTATTTTTCTATATGAACAGTTTTAGTGTTTAAGACTCCTTTGAGAAGCCGTGCCTACATCATCGGCTGCCGGCCGACGACCTGCAGGGTCATTGGCTTTCAAARGGTCCACCAAACGGCATTAGTTTCGAGTGAGTAAACAGAAAAATATGTCTGCTCCTGGAATCCATTCTTTCAGGCAAGGCATCAATACCTTCCAGGCATAAATCTGGGTAGGCACAAACCCATGGAGGCAGCTGCTTCTTTGGGGAACAAAATAACTTCAGAACCGCTCAACGTTCCTAAAGGTCATTCAAACTCGTCGTCCAGAAACGATTGTTCTCACTCAGTCAAGTTGAGCAGCTTTTCATCAGTCAGGCTTCACTTGCCCTCTGTACCGCCTTGAGAGATCAACCCGTCAGGCTGGGTAAGAAAAGTAGGAAGGAAAAAAAAAATTGAAATAAAAAGTTCAACTGGTCCATCCTGCTCCTGAAGCCACTCAGCCTGGGAAGGAGGTGTCAGTTTCAGGCATCAGTGTGGTGCTGGAGCAGCTGGACCACATATTTGAGTCGGTGACGTAGCTCCGAGGTGCAGCCGGTTTCATTCAGCATGCTGAGGAGGTATGTGTAGGAGATGCGTTCACGGGTTATGTAGGTGAGCAAGTGGGAGTCGTCCGACGACTTGGACAGGATGATCTTTGTGTGGTCCGTGTAGAAGTTCACCTATAGGATAGAACCAAACACAATGTTCAGGATGTTTTAGGGAAAGGTGACTAAAATAAATAAATAAAAAAGTAGCATTTAGGAGTTTCTGTACCTGCAGTGTTCCGTTGTTGAAGAGCATGACAAGAGCGTGATCAGTCTTCACCCACTGAAGGAGCAAAGGAGGTGAACCAGAGGGCTGCTCCTCACAGTGCAGATCTCCACCCTGAAGAGAGAGAAAAATATTTTTGTTATCCAACATGAACATTAAAAAAAAAAAAAACACCACAACACATWTAATGGAATATCAGACCCCGAGATGCTTCTCATACCTCCATCAAGTTCTGCTCCATGTAATTAGCCATGAGTTCAACGATTTGTTTTTGGCTCCGAAGCTGCTCAGGGAGCGAGTGGGTTGGGAAAGTAAAGTGTTTGTTGTTGGTCAAGCAGTAGTGAACTGTCCTGTTGAGGAGGGGGGAAGAAACAAAAATTGAAAAAAATGAGGGAAAAAAAAATAAGACACTCCCAGGCTTGCTCATGTAAAAAAAAAAAAGCTTCAAAGCTCAGAAGTGGTTTTTAAAACAAGTTCACAAACTCAGCAGTTACGCAACAGTGACTCATCATCAAATGTTCTTGACTGACTTACTTGCGCTGATCGCACAGGCTGAGATGTGTTCCCTCGTTGAAGAGCACCCCGATGCTTTTGTTCGACAGCTGGTAGCCAAAGCCGTATTTGTTGGAGTAGTCGACCCATTTGGTGACCCACAGGAAAGACTGCGGCCTGGATAAGCAGGGGGGGTTTCTGTTAGCTGGACAGGAAACAAAACAAAACAAAAAAAAAGGGTTAGTAAAATACAATCCATTGTATGTGTTGCATCTAAAAAGAATGTAGCAAATTAGAT